GTCCATTCCCTGTGCCTCATACTTTTGCCCCACAGGGGCCAGAGCGGGGACAGGGTGACGTGAGCCCAGCAGCAGCAGGACAGCAGCCCTTTCCCAGGCCGTGGGTGCGAGGTTGACAGTGACTGGCATTTTTCCACTGCCAGCCTGTCAAGAACCCGGTGCTGCTGTCCCCCCTTCCAACAAGTGACAGTGAGTGAGATGACAACCAAGTGCCAAGACAACTCAATCCGGTGTCTTCACTCCCCACGGAGCCCTGAAGTTCGGGGTTCGCTCAGGCTTCTCCTGGGCCACGGTGAGAGCAGGAGATGAGTTGGTCAGGTCTCTGCACAGAAGTATTGGAAACCCCAGCATCCCTGTGGATCTGCTGTGGGCAGTCCCGGCAGGGAGGTGAGCAGGGCAGCTGCTTTGTAGGGACCGGTGCCAACAGTGCCCGTTCCAGCGGGAGCCTGTGGGGTCACACGGGGGCTGCCCCTATGCCTCTAATCACATCCCTGGGCAGGCTGGTGCAGGCAGCGAGGAAAGCATCCCTCCCCTCAGCAGAGCTGCCTCACCTTACCCGCTGCCTGAGCCAACCCTCGGCGCAGCGATTGAGGTTTGTCCATCAGTATTTAATATCGGCGTCCCTGACCCGCCGGCCCCTCCCCGGGGAGGCTCCGCAGGGCTGTGTTTGTATGCGGCGCACGCAGACAGACAGCAGCCGGGAAGCGCCCGTCAATCACAACCCCTTTCAGCCTGTCACCTCAAAATAAAGGGAGAAAGAGGGGGTGGTGGCTCCGATGGGAAACTGGGGCTGCCTGCACCGCACCCGCTCCACCGGCGTGTTGGGAAGGGATGCACCACCCCAGGGGTGCCTTCGGCCACACCTCGACATTTCTAGCTTTCAGTGATGCTGTGTGGATGGGAGACCCCAAAGGAGAGGACTGAGGTGCTGTCTTGAGGAAGAGGAATGGTGTGGAGAAGTGGGACTGCATCTTGGGGAAGGGGGGATATCCGTAACACCATCAGAAATGTTGCACTTTTGGAAATGCCCAAATATTTTGCTTCAAGGTTTTCTTGAAAGCCACCACCAGCACCTTGCTGTTTCAAACCAGCAGAGATTGTCATTTCAAAAGGGACCTAAACATCGGGGGTGGGGGAGGGAAAGGCAGATTAATCAATACAGGAACAGGAACATTTTTAAGATCAGACACAAAAGGCTGCATGTTGTGATAAAAATTGCTCACATCACCATTTTTTCATTCCAATTTGTCCTAAGCTGAGTGGGGTTTTTTTCATTTACAAACATTTGCTGTCATCGCTTCGATGAGGCGTTTACTGAGCTGCCGGCGACAGGCTGGGACTCCACTGAGCATCCCAGTGCTGAGCAGGTCTCCCTGCCTGGTGCCCTGGCCTGTGCCTGCCAGCTTCCCACCTGGCTAAACAAACCCACCGCTGCCAGCCAGGCCTGATTTAGCTTTGGAACCCCAGCCTAGGGAGGGAAAAAAACCCTCTACTGAGAACTAAGGCTGGCAGCACCCCAAGGATGGCAGAAGTGAAGGTGCTCCCGTTGCAATTCAGAGGGTAGCAATTTGCCCTTGGTTTAAAGTTGAAGTCCCTGGGCACAGCCTGTCCTCTTTCTCTTCTGCGCAGCCTCCTGTAGGGAGGCTCAAAGTCCCTTCCACAGATGTAGTGAGGCAAAAGGAGAGAGAAGAGATGGCATTTGCTCTGTGGCCTGCTTGCAGCAGGAGGGAGCTGGGCACAGAGCTGAAGATCCCGGAGATGAAGGAAAACCTCTGGATCCAGGCTAGTGTGTCTTGCTCAGGCTAAAACGTTAAATTAATTGCTAGATGTGGTGCTGGAAGAAAATTTTCCTTCGGCTCCATCTCAGATTGAGCAAAAGTGGGGTTATGCATGCAGGGGTTATCCATGCTGGAGTTATCCTGTATGGAGTTGTTACTCAGTGGAAGTATCTACACATGGGGTTATCCATTTGTAGGGTTTTCCATCTGTGGGGTTATCTGTGCAGGGAGTTATCCATGTGTGCTGTTGTTTCCCAGTCCCTGTAGAGTAGCTGGTACTGTCCAGGGCTCGGGAGACCTGGGACAGCAGTGAGGCCCTGTGCTCCCTCTCCATTACTGCCCATGGTAAGCTGTGCTTTTTCTGCCTGTGACATTTTAGCACCTAAGGTCTCCATTTATTGTGTGTTTCACCTAAGCTCTCAGTTTATTGTGTGTTTATAAGGAGCTCTTTATGGTTTCCTACTGTGGAAGGGGTTTTATGGGGATTTCTCTGCATCTCACATTGCCCAGGGATGGGGAAGTCCTGCAGTGAAAGATGCCTGGTCTGACTGGCACCCCTCAGAGAGAGCTGTTGGGGACTCAGCAGTTGGGAAATAAATGGCTTTATGTGTTTAATATTAGGCAGCCATTTAGCTAAAACTCACACCTTCCTGCTTTGCAACATACTTTGGACTTGGAAACATCCATCACTGGGCTGGTGCTGCTGTGCCTGACTGGCAAAGGTTTGTGGCTCTCTAATAAGTGCCTTGGAAACAAATTTTGGGCACATTCATTTATGAAGATTAGATAGCAGTAATGTAGTAGCTTATCAATATTTTATTACTGGGAACAGTTAGTAATCCCAACAGGTAGGGCTTAAACATCATTTAAATAAGATGAGAATGTGTTACCAGACGAATACAAATTGCCTCCACTTTGACATAAAAGAGACCTAATTAAAGATGAAGTGACTACAGAAATATTAACACAAGCCAGTGTTTCTTGGAGCTGGAACAAGAAAAAAAATGACCCTTTGGAAGGGATGCTTTCAAGGGAATATACATCCCTCTCCTCCCAGGGCAGTCATAAGGATGTTGGAAATACATACATCTAAGAGACAGGCAGTTGTATGTGAACCTTGGAAATTAAAGCTGAATGTAGAAAAATAAAAGCTACTAATGGCAATAGCCAGAATTATAAACTCCCTAACCTCCACCTTTTCTTTGATGATTTCCACTTTCTGTGGTGACAGTAGTGTTTTATAAAAGCTTTATAATACCCCTTTCCCACTTCTTTGGGCATGCTACAATTTGTTGAGTGTGCCCAGCATTTGGTTGGCACGGGGAGAATGATGCATCACGTATCCCTGTGCTTGCCAACACTGTTTGGGGGAGACCTGGGAGGGAACAGGCATAGCCCATGTACTGGCATGAAGTGTCCATGAGAGAACCCGACTGTGGGAAGGAGAAAATGATGATAAAACAGGGTACATTTGCAGGCCCCATTCCTAACCCTTGACACCCAGCCCTAAAAGCTGTCGGGCACTGCTGGTGGGTGTCAGTGTGCCCTGGTGCCTTCAGCATCTCTGGTGTTACGGGTGCCTTCACCTCTGAGACACAAAGACTTGCATGTGCCTTGCTCTGCTTCCATCTCCCTGTTTTGTTCATCACCAAAACTTCTTTAAATGATCCCCATTTTCTGATGGTTTTCCTGCAAGGGTTTTGCTTACATCTGGTCGTCTTCTTGTAGGAATGGGGCTGATCCAGCACATTTCCTGTGTGCTTTTTGTATCCGCCAAAGAAAGAGAAAGGATTGAAAGCTCACTGGTGGCTGCAGGACTGCCCATCCCCTCCCTAGCCAGCCCCAGCCCCTCCACATCTCCCTCAGGGGTGACACATGGGATGGGGACACATGGAAGTGGGAGCTATCTGGGGCCAGTGGAAGCCTGGATGCAGCACTCCCTGTGTGGGTCCCTGGGGCATCCCCAGGCTGGGACTCGGGCAATGCTCGGAGATAACCTCTGCAGGATGTGTGCTGACTTTTGACTTCTCTTTCTGGGCCAAAGTTGGTCAAGACAGGGGACTAATAATGTCCAGTTCCCACAGATATTTTGAACAAGACTGGGTAAACAGTGTTTTTTTATTTTATGGGGTCCAAGCCAAGAACTCAGGCATCTGGGGGTGGCAAAGGGGTTCTGGTTTGATACCTTCAAACATCTCTATGGAGTAAAACATCCCATTCACTTAAAATATCCAGCCCAGGGTTAATTCCAGGTGCCTCCAGGTCTTCTCTGTCCAGCACTGGTGCTGCCACCTCCGGTTTCTTGCCTCAGTTTCCCCAACTGTAAATTGTTGATCATTCTCAGTAAGGACATTTAAAGCTGAAGAAAGAAAAGCTCTGTTTCAATCTGAAGTGTTACTGCTGTTATTATTATTGGCTTTTAAGTCTAAAGTCAGTGTGTTGAAACCTGGGAACAGTTTAATTAGGGATGCCTCAAACGCTGTCACATCAATGTCAAAGAACAAGCTGAGCTTTTTCTTTTCCTTTTGACACATCAAGTCTTCAGTCTGTCACTGGCCTTAACCCCAAACTTGCTGCCATGGAGATTTTTATGATATATTAGACATTACTGTTGCGTTTGCAAGCGGGAAGGGGGCTGTTCCAGTGACCCAGGCCAGAGGGATGGGGTAGTTTGTGGGTGACTGACAGTGCAGATGCTTCCTGTAGGTGCTTGTGGAGAGGCACGAATGAGCTCACTGTCCCCATTGCCACCTCCAGCATCTCCCTAGGTCTAGGCATGAGCTGGAGGCAGGTGGACATGTAGAGCTGGCTTGATAAAACTCATGTGGATGTGTTGTGTTCTGTGTCTTCTCGTGGTGGTAGCTGTTGGGTTTGGCACCTGTTTGGTTTTTATCTTGAGCATCTGGATGTTGGGGTTGTCATCATTTGACTGCATTCATGGTAAGCATCTGGTAATAGGTCAACCAAAACTGCTGAAGTTGACCCAAAGGCAGCATCCCCCACTGGCACAGGGCAAGTGTGCAGCACTTGCAGCACGTTGCCATGTCACTGAGGGGTGCCAGCACCGTTGTGCCCAGCCCCTCAATGCAATCCAAACACCGGAGGGGTGTCACAGCGATCCTGTGCCGATGCCCATCTCCCTACCATGGGTGCCCCTCCCTTGTCCCCAGCATCCCCACGTGCAGCTGGGTGTGACAGTGGGATCTCCTCTTGCTCCCGCAGGCTGTTTGCAGTGAAGTGTGCCGGGTGCCTGGAGGCCATCGCGCCCAGCGAGCTGGTGATGCGCGCCCAGAAGAGCGTCTACCACCTGCGCTGCTTCTGCTGCTGCGTCTGCGAGCGGCGCCTGCAGAAGGGCGACGAGTTTGTGCTGAAGGAGGGGCAGCTGCTCTGTAAGGGTGACTACGAGAAGGAGCGGGAGCTGCTGAGCTTGGTGAGCCCGGCTCTGTCGGATTCTGGTAAGGGGCCGCCCGCGCCCGGCGTCTCCCTGGCTGGTCCCACTCCGAGGCCCCTGCGAGCACGGTGGGGTCTGGAGGTGAGGTTTGGGCTTGTTGCCCTGAACTTCTGCCTTTTTGTCTGAGGGGAAAAGCTCTATAAGCACTGTTGGGTCCTCCAGCCAGAGTCTCTCCCATATCAGTGGCAAGGGCTTGAGCGGGGACCTTGGCAGTGGAGAGGGACTGCATGGATAAAGGATGCTCTGTGGACCATCTCATCTCATTAGGCCCATTTCTATGAGGGTTTGTGATCCTGGCCTGTGCAGGGCACCAGCGTCCCATCCTGAGGGGTGTACAGCCTCCCTGGTTGTGGGAGGGAGAGTCATACTGGTTGAAATGACATATCACACCTTCTCACCTGGGCAAATGGAAGAACTGCCCCTGGTAAAATACACTCTAACTGAGAGATTTCTTCCTAAAAAAAATCACAGTTCCAAGCATTCCACTGACTACCTTGGGCTAAACCTCCCCTGTGCCTCACTGCCCTTGCCTGGGACCCTGGAAAGGCCGAGTGAAAGAAGTGAGCTGCTTCTGCTGCACTCACTCTTTTTAATAACAAGGGGAAACTGAGGCACGGAGCTAAAATGTGAGCTGGCAGCAGGGAAACCGCAAATCTTGTGTTCCCAGCAGCTTCCCAGGCAGTTGATGGCCAGAACCAGCCTGCTGAGCCAGCATGGTGGCACTGTGGGAACACTGCAGAGCCAAGGGGGACTGCAGGAGAGGTGGCACCACAGCTGGAGGTGGGCAGGAGGCTGACATCCTGCTCCAGCCAAGGTGACACGGCCAGCTTAGGTTGCCCAGAGCATCAGATCAACATTAAAATATGTATCCACAGTCAGTGCAAATCAAATCCAAATGTTTCCCAGGAAGACAAATTTAGTAAGAGAGCCCAGCACTGGGGACCAGGGGGGTGGAAATGATCTGCTAGCAGAAATGCTCGTGTTAATGCTGTCCCCACAGAGCACTGCTCCTCGCCAGGGTGGCAGGCCCCGTGCCTGGTTCTCTCAGCTCCTCTTAAAAACCCTCACTGGGGAAAAATCTGCTTTGCAGAGGAAAGGATTTACCTTTAAAATACCATGCTCTGGAAAGGGCTGCCAGCAACTGGCAGGGGGCTGTCTTTTCCCTGCTAAAGCAAACCACTGGAATTTAAAAAGTAGAAATCAAGATTAGGAGTGCGGTGTTAAGGTGTGAAGCATAGACACGACAGAGCCTGGTGCTCTCTGCCAGGCACTGGAATGCTGTAGCTGGGAGAAGGTGTGTGAAGGGACAGGGATGGTTTTGGTAGGTCTGGAGCAAAAAATTTCCCAAAACCCATATTTCTCTTTAATATCGTGCTCCTCTGCAGTGAGAGCCTGGCTGCCTTGCAGCACTGCCTGTGTGGGTTCTGTCCGAGCTCTGCGACCCGCTGGCTCAGGAGAAAAAAAATCCTCCCCCCAAGTAACAATGATGATATTTAAAAAATAGAGTGAGGCCATGGGAGGAGGTGGCTGGGGAAAGCTGGTGAGTGATGGTCCGGTGCTGGAGGAGCTGGAGAGGCAGGAGTGCAGGAGGATCCAGCATGCTTATCCCTGGGAAAGTCCTTAACTGATTGAGGAATTATTTTTTTTTCCTCTGGGATGCGCAAACTCTTTCAGTTAAAATAGGAACCAATGAGGAGATGTCATGCACGAGAGTAAGTAAATTGGCCACAATGGTTTGGGTTTGTTCCTAGTGGGGGAAAAGGGCAGTTTGGGAAAGGTTGGGAGCTGTTCCTCCCCAGCGACTCATTGGCCCGTGGTCCAGCCCTGCTGCCAGGGGCTCCGGCCAAACCAAGAGCTTTGACTTAGCAAAATCCTCCAGAGGAAATACTTATTTCAGTAGAAACTCCAGCTGAGGCCTAAGGGATGCGAAGGGCCAGTGTGGGAGTCAAAAGGGCATGGCAACCCCTTGGCTGGTCGGAAACCCAACCCGAAGCCCCTGACATCCCCTGGCAGCCTCTGACTGGGGGGTCTCAGCCCTTCCCATCTCCCTGCAGACCCCATAGCTTAGCCCCCCACCATCCCTGCCTGCTTTTGGTGGGCACCAACAGTTTGTCCCATGTGGCTCTGGAGACAGTGGCACAGTGGGGGGCAGCCCAGGTACACATCCCACGTGTATGATCAGTGTGGTGTGGCTTCTCCCTTTCCTGCTGCATCCTCCCCTGGAGAACCCATTACCATGCCAAGGGGGGATGCAGAGGGGTGTCCCCACTCCGGCCCCAGTCCCAGATGCCCTTCACCAGCAGCGATGTGCTTGTCCAACCTCTTCCCTGTCCCCCCCCTCGCTGCTTTGAAGCCCCCCACCCTCCCTCCCCGCGGCTGCCGCGCACCAAGGGCCACTTTATGAGAAAGCACAGATAAAAAGCGAGCCATATGTTGTCTGTAATCTCCCAAACCCTCGCTTCAATTACTGCCTCCCCCGAGCCTCCGCCGCCCAGCCTGAGTAAACAAGCCCCTCTGAAAGAGGACCCTGCTTTCCAATTAAAAGCGTCCTAACGTTTCTCCTCTCCCTAAATCCTCCTGAGCGAGGAATGTCCTGGCCCCAGCGGCGGGATGCGGGCTCGGCGGGTCGGACCGAGGGCACGCCGCACAATATCCGTCGCCCCGGCCCCTTCCCAGGTGACGTCAGGGGCAGCCCCAGACACTCATTAATTTCTCCCCCCTCCTCAGTGGGGAAAGGCTTGAAAGGGAGAGTTAATTAAAAGTAATACCCCGCCAAATCCGGCTTCACTTTTCCTTCTTTCCCTTTGACACTTGGAGGGATTTGGGGAGCAGGTGTTGGCGGGGGGGAGGGCTCAGAGGGGCTGCTCTGAGCATGTTTTCCCCCTTGGAGTGGGTTTTGAGCATCATGGACTTGATAGAGTCCATGAGCCTGTGGCTTTACCATGCTGGGTTCTGCCCCTCCCAGACTGGAGGGGAGTGGGGTGCTCACCTCGTGCTAGGGTGCCAATGGGTTCAGGCACCAGTTGACATTCCTCCTCACATTATGTGTAAAAATCTCTACCTTTCCATCAAAATTAAATCCCTTCAGGTTTCAGGAAGGCAGGCAGCCCAGTGGAGCAGAGATCAGCCACTGCTCAGCCCCATTAGCCATCAGAGACTCCACACCCTGGGCCTCCCCAGCGCTGGAGCTCTCAGACCTGCTGCAGTTCTACGTCCCTGGTGTTGGGACATACAAGAAAACAGGAGTTTGTCTTTCCTGCTGCTGTGGGCATGCCATGGGTGTGTCATGAGTGAGCAGGGAGCTTGAGCAGCAGCAAGGCCCTGGTTTGCAGGGGCCAGCACCCAGGTCCTGTCTGTCTGGGGACTGCCAGCATGAAGAGCACTCCCTGTCCCATCCCTCCCAGCCCTCACCATGGGGGAAGTCTCTGTATTGGCTGGTGAGCCCAGGAGAGAGCCCACTGGTGTAGAGGGAAGAGAGAACTGGTACCTGAGAGTACCCTTGCTGCTCCACTGGGGTCACTGCAACCCCTCACCCTCTACATGTTCTCCCATCTTTCCCCATTCCCAACTGGGCTGCCGTTGGATTTACAGTTTTCTGATGTATGATCCGTGATTAGCTCTTGCCATAGGGTTTGACCTGGCCTGTTTTCACCATGAATTACTCTGAACCAGGCTCACATTCCCTGGTGCATTCCCAGCGCCATGGCAGCCCCGGGATGGACTTGGGCCAAGCAACAGCCTTGCAGCCTGTATCTGTATCAAACCAGCACCTCAACTCCATTATCGATTCCCAAAAGAATAGTGCAGGAACTTTCTGGAAAAGGCTCTAAGTGATTTATAGCTAGTGAGAGGAAAGGACTTGTGCTATCAAACTTGTGTTACAGCCCTCCCACAGCGGCTGAACAGGCGAGGTCATCAGCACAGTGGCAATGCAGTAAACGAGGAGGGCTGGGAAGAGGCAGGGCAGCACTGTCCACTTTCCTGGAGCAGATCTTTCCTGAAGGCTCTTTGGGTCTGAGTGGTGGAGAGCAGCAGGGAGATACCTCAGTACCTGGGAATGCAGTGGAGCAGCACATCACAGCAAGTACCTGAGGAGTGAAGCCTGAAGGACCCTGGGCTTCTGTCTAGGAAGATTTAAAACTCCACAAAAAGGGGGAAATGTAGGCCAGAAGGTGTCCTTTAGAAGTGTGATTAAAGGTCTGTGCTCTAAATGTAGTTGTCCTCCAGGGTAGAGCAAAGCAGGAGGAGTCTGTGAGGGTATCTTGTCTAACATGTTGCCCCCTCTGAGCATGCCTGCTCACCCAGCACCCTGACTTTACCCAGCTGGGGCTGCCCAGGCTGTGGGACCCGATGTCTGTCACCAGCTGGGCTGGGGGACAGCCCCAGGGGCACAGTGGTCCTTGATGTCTGCTGTCCCCTCACGTGGATGTGACCTTTGTGTCTCTGTCCAGATATGTCCCCAGCTGTGGCCTGGCTGGAAATTCCTGAGGAGCCGTCAGGGGTTTGGGTCTGATGGAGGGAAAATCAGCTGTCCCAGGGTTTCACATGGCAGCTGCTCAGACTGTTGGGGAAAAGAAGAACCCACAAGCCCATCTGCTGGCTGAGCAACCACAAACTACAAGTGACAGCAGCTCTCCCCCTCTGAGCTGCCATAGGGCAGCCAGCCCCAAACTTCAGCTTCTTGTACACATCCACAAGAAGATCCCCACCAACACCAGCTTGTTTTAAATCTCCCAGATTATTCTGGACACACTGGAAATGATGTGTCTGGCCCATTGTCTGTTAAGGACCTGCTTTTCCCCCCCCCCCCCCCGCTTTAGGCAAAAGTGACGATGAGGACAGCATCTGCAAACTGGGCCAAGCCTCGGGGAAGGGCGCTGAGGATGGGAAGGATCACAAACGGCCCAAGCGGCCCCGGACAATCCTGACCACGCAACAACGGAGGGCATTCAAGGCGTCCTTTGAGGTCTCCTCCAAGCCCTGCAGGAAGGTATGGGGAGAAGGGCCCGTGCCCAGCTGCCTCCAGCCCTCGTGGATGTCCTTGATGCTGGGCAAGGACTTGTCCTGAGTGCTCTACCACCTCCTAAAGTCCCTCTGAAAAGCTGAGTGGGCTGAGGCACTGCTGTCGTTCTCCTCTCCCAGGTGCGGGAGACGCTGGCAGCAGAGACAGGGCTGAGCGTCCGGGTGGTGCAGGTCTGGTTCCAGAACCAGCGAGCAAAGGTGGGTACAAGGGGTAAGCCCCCAGCAGTGGCTGTTGATGGGGCTCCCTCCCTCCTGGCTTTGGCCAGGGAATGGCTTCATTCCCTTTTTTTCTCTTTCTTCCTGGCCAGATGAAGAAGCTCGCCAGGAGGCAGCAGCAGCAGCAGCAGGATCAGCAAAACACACAGCGCCTGAGCTCAGGTACCCCCCAAGCTCTCCCGACACTTAGGGTCTCCCTGTTTCCCAGCCATCTCCAGGCTTCCCAGTGTTGTTGGGCCACCCAAAAAGCAGTAGCCTGACTGTGCTGATGACTTGATCTTGTCTTCCAGGCCAGACAAACGGCGGCGGCAGCACAGGACTGGAGGGGATGCTGAACCCTTACACCACTCTGCCCCCGCCCCAGCAGCTGCTGGGCATGGAGCAAAGCGTCTACGGCTCCGACCCTTTCCGGCAAGGGCTCACCCCACCTCAAATGCCTGGAGACCACATGCATCCCTACGGTAGGGCTCCAGGATTTGCCTTTTGCCTTCTCTACCTCAGAGAGATGCTGAGCTGTGATGGGGGCATGCGTGGGGGGATGCAGCGATTTCTGGTGGTCCCCTCACCCCTAAAAATACCTTACTCTACAAAAGCTGGGGGTACCAGGCACTGCCAAGGTGCCGGAGGAGAAAGCAGGCTCTGAAGCCCTTCTGCTCCTTCCCTGCTTCCCAAGGTGCCGAGCCCCTCTTCCACGACTTGGATAGCGATGATACCTCACTGAGCAACCTGGGTGACTGCTTCCTCGCCACGGCGGACGCGGGGCCACTCCAGGCACGAGTGGGAAACCCCATCGACCACCTCTACTCCATGCAGAACTCCTACTTCACTTCCTGAGTGCAGCGTGGTCCCTGGCACGGGGCAGTTGCCGCTGCTGTGCTGCCCCAAAAGGGGCTACAGAGCCCTCGGGGTTGGGAGGGAGGGAGAAGCAACACTGCTGGGATGCTGTCAAATATGTTGTAGCTTGGGATTCCCAAGGAGCGAGTTAAGTTATGGGTTGCATAGTTTCATGTTTCTCTTAGGAGCCTAGGATTAGGGACAGGAGTGGTTTTTGCAGCTGGCTGGTGGATTTTCAAATTTCAAACGGGGAAACAAATTTCTCGTTTCGGCAGGGGGAGGGGGAGTGTCCCACAGGAGCATCCCAGTGCCGTATCCCCTCCATACCACCTTCGGAAAGAGCAAGCAGCTGATCTTCATGGAGAGAGCCTGCAGGATCAGCTGGGCTTTGAAATTTGAAAAGCTGACAGTGCTTTGGGGAAACATGAGGGAAAATGTTGCTGCAGGGTTTTTTTTTTTCCCCTGTGTTTCCTCAACCGGTTTGAGCGCTCGCTGCTTAAACATAGGGACTTTTTAAGATAGATGTTCCCATGTGAATATAGAAAGCTAGAAACCCCTAACATCGCCCCTGAGGAAGGGGCTGTGTGTGTGTATGTGTGTGTGTGTGTGTGGGGCACGCACATGAGTGCGTGCAGAGCCGTGTGGCTGTGAGTGTTGTGCTACACGGCCACACCTGCCAGATTGTATCAACAAAGTTTATTTCTAAGTCTATCAGAAATTTACTGTACAGCAAAAGTAACTTTATTTTCAGCGTGAACCATATTTAAGGAAAGACTCAATGCACTTAAGTTATAAGAGGAAATAATTTACTTTTTATAAACGTTATGTTTAGGTTGCAAACGCCCAGTGGCAGGGAAGGAACATCGGTTCATTTCAGGAGATAGGTTTGGGTTTCGGGGTTGGTTATTTTTGGTGTTCTCAGGTTGCCCCACTGCTTTTGAGGTGCAGTTGAAACACAAAGCAGAGCTGGCTCCAGAAACCTGCTCTTTCGCCAGCAGATTGATGGGGACAACGTGGTGGCCAGGTCCTGTCTCCACTGCTGGACGTGCCTGGGAGGTCAGTGAGGGGTGGACAACGCTGCTGGAGCTGGTGGACATCACAGCCCGTCGGGGCTCAGCCGTGCTTCTCTACATCACCTCCTCCTACCCACAGCGGGGCCCAGCCTGCCTCCACCAGCGACCCCATCCTGTGCTCCCAGATATGGGTGCTAGACCAGTGTGAGCTGCTGTCCTGGCGCTGGAAAACACTGCAGCCCATATCACCACCCCCCGAGCGAAGGAGAAAAGAGAGAGAGCCCTGCCTTTCCCACCCCGTGCTCAGGTTCATCCCTGCTGGAGCTGTGGGAACCTGGGGAAAGTTCTCCTTAGGGGTCGAGCCTTCATCTGGCCCTCACCTCATCCCCACTCTCGTTTTCATGCGTTGTGTCCTTTTGTGCTGCTGTTCACAAACGATGTGAGTGACAACCCGTACAGACATGCAAGTGACTGTGAGGCTCAAAACACTGGCTCATCGCCCCTGTACGATCTGACACTGAATGTAGCGGGGTCTGGAGATGGCTGACCCGGCGGGAGATGCTGACACACTGTCAGAAATCACGTACCAAGTTGAAATTAAAAAGATAAAAAAAAATCTCTGGTAAAAAAAAAAAAAAAAAAAAAGCCTGGTCTTTTCTTGTGTGCTGTGTCCCCTTCACCTGATGGGGGGAGAATCACTATGAACCCCAGCCCTTCATGGCAGTACCGTGAGCAACTCCATGCTCCATGGTTGGACTGCCTAAAAGGTATGGGTGGGTGTTTCCCAATGCAAGTTGCTCTCACCACAGCTCCCTGACGTGGATAGGTGACATAAATATGTGCTGATGCCACCAAATGGGGATGGGAATTCATAGCTCATTTTCTGAGATGTTCAAAACAAGGTGTTTTCCTTACTGCCCTTCATCAGTCACTGCTTTGCTGCTCTTGTGCTATGTTTCTTAAGTCCAACATGCAGGAAAAAAAAACATTCTAAAATGGTGTGACTGTATGAAGACATCTTGTGATTTTTATTTTACAAGCTGTAAAATAAAGAGCAGCCTAGGAGCAGCCTGGATTTCCCGGGTTGATTTGGGGTTTTGCTCTGTTTCAGGACAGCAGCAGGGAAAAGGGTTGGACTTGTGGTGGACAGGTTGGGGAAATTATGGCTTGAGGCTTCTCTATCACTGAACTCGGTGGTATTAGAGAAATACTTGGCTGGTGCTATTGGAGCAGAGGGGATCTGATGAGGCTCATAGTCACTGGGGGCTGGAGGTGGAGATGTGCTTACACACATCAGATGTGTAAGAAAAGGGGCAGATCTGGGAGAGGTTAGTATAGGGATCCAGCTGTAGGCAGTGGCTGGGTAAACACCACCCAGGCCTGCAATATAAAAGGAGATGTTAAAATTGCCTTAAAAATTCTCCTCACTTGAATACTTCTTAAGACATGATGTTTAAATCAGTGTGGTTTGGGGTTTTTTTTTAAATCATTTAAAGATAAAAGGTGTGTCTTCCCCACCCACAGCTCTCTCCTGTTTGAAAAATGCTTAAGTACGTCAGTCTGGCTTTCCATCAGCCTAACTACCAATTTACACTTACCAAATTGCTTCCCCCAAATTAAAACCCCCACAAAACCCATGTCTTACAGACTGTTTGCCTGCTTTTAAAATCTCGTGAAAATGTAATGACACACTATAATAGCAGTTTCTCAAGGTAAATGTGTGTGTATATGTATAAAATTATTATATATAGTATATAATTCTGGGAAAGGATCGGTATTGTGGATGAGGGCAGATCTTTGACTAGTAAAAGCAGCAGAACTCATGTTTTTAAACCTGTTCGCTTTTTGGAAGTTGGCTTGTGTGCTTGACACAGCCCAAGCATGAGCCCAGTTTACAATTGTGCCATGCAGTAGCAGATGTGGGTCCTCCTGTCATCTGGATTTCATATTCTCTTGTGCCTTATTTCACGGTGTGGATGGATCCTGCCAAAGCAAACCTGGCTGGGCCTTATCTTCTGCAGGTGGTGGAGTCACTGCATGGCAGATGACTTTTGTTAGGCTGGGTGGGTTGTCAGGTGTCCCTTGGTTTGCCCCCCTGGGCTGTCCTTTCATGGTGCTGCTTTGCCATACTGTGCTCCACGTCTGAGCCCACTCTCAGCCCGAGGAGTGACTCCCTAGAACAAATGATACCTTCTTGTCAAAGCCAGGAAGAAAAGAACAAGGTCTGACATGAAAACAGGTTCTACCTTGCTCTCCAAGGCAAGGGCAATGCCAGGAACGGGTTGGGAGCTGACCTTTGTGTCTCTGGTGACTCAAAACAAAGCTCCTTCTGTTCAGGCATTGCTCGGTGGCCAAGGAAAGATCAAGTCAGAGATTAGTTGTCAGTTGAGGACACTGATTAGATGATACTGATAGGCAGCCAGCTCTGAGTGATATTATGTTAATTAACTTGCTCTTTGTGAATGGTCTGTACAGGAGCTTGTGGCAGATGCAGTCTGGAGCGAAAATCAAAATGGTGCTGGGCAACGCTGGCTGGGTTTGCATCTGGGTATTTGAATCTTAATGGTATTTTCAGGTATTTGTTGGAGACTTGTAGTGCACAGACATAGGAGCCGGAGCAAGTGACCTTCCTAGAAGGATGTGACCTTGCTGTCTAAGAAAACCACCTCCAGATGAAGGGTTGGATCCTTGCCTTGCTCCGAATGGCCTGGCTCAGCATGTAGCTGAAATCAGTGGAGCTGTGCTGGCTCCTGCCAGCTGCAGTGTGGGCATGAGGAATCTCCAAACCTAGCAAAGGTCCTGGGGCAGTGAGGAGACCCATGTGTGACCCCCAGGTCATGGCCATCTCCCCAGTCTCTGCTGCATGGGGTGTTTGGGGGCTGCTTTCTGGTGGAATGTGGGCTGGCCCTCCTATGTGAGGAGAACCTGCAGGAGAGTTTCTCGTGTGCCCACATCAGTGGGTCATCTTTCTGCACATAGAAGGTGGAGAGGGCATTCCAAGGAAGCCACAGGCAGGCTCTTTCCTTGCAACCGGACACAGGAGGTGACAAATCCTGGGTAGTTTTTTTGGTGGGAAAATGCCAAAGCTTTGGTTTCTGCTATCACTTTTCCAGAGTGAAATAACTTGCCAGATGTTTGATACCTACACTGATGCTTTTCTGGGCACTAAAAATCACCCATCATTAAAAAACCCTTGTCTTGTGACACATGATAGAGCTCAAACCACTGAGGGCGAGTGTCTTGGCTTTGTGGTAGGTCTGTGAGCAAGATCCCAGGTCACACCACCTGTCCAAATCTGTGACTTGAGTTTGCTAAGTCTTTTCTTCCACTGCTGGTCATCTGTGTGGAAAGTTCATTTAAAAAACAAAACAAAACAACCAAAAAAACCCCCAAACAACCCAAAACCTCTTTATAAAGTGGTGAAGACCTGCAATGGAAAGGCAAGAAAAGGGTTAGAAGCTCTTCAGGTGTAAAAAGGTGCGTAATAGCCTCCTATCTTGTTGGAGATCAGACCAAATTCTTGTCTCCATTCCTTGAAGTAGCAACGTGTTGGTCATGAAAAGGTTATCTTGTCAGCTGTAGACCTCTTAGACACTGATGTGGAGGCTGACATGTGCTTGCCTGATTGACGTGCATAAGTTCACAGGCTGAGGACGAGCGTATCCAACTGCAAACCATGTCAAAACACTCCAAGTGATCAAATACCGACAGCACTTTCGGTGAAGAACAGCAGATTCCCACCGCCTCGGGCCCTCTGAGCTGCTGCTTCAGAGGGGAGATCAGATTTCTCCTGTGATGACCCCGAGAACAGGGGGCTCATTCAGAGGGATGCTTGGTGGGTTGAATCACGGTGTTGGGGCAGAGTAAATCCCATGGCAGGAGGCAGGCCAGTGCTGTGGCACAGAGATGGGGAGCTGGTAGTGAACGCCAGCAGGCACTGCCCAGGAGTACTATCAGTTTGATGGCTTCAAGTGGGGTGAAGAGCTGATGACCTGCTCCTGACC